TCCGTGCTGTATGATGGATAAAACCCACTGATCAGATGTGATGGACTCCCAGATGGGGAGTCGACTTTGCAGTTGATCCCCAAAAGGAAGAGGGGAAGGTGGGTTAAGGGGGAGAGGAGAGGTTCGCTCATCCCGTCAATGTTGACGTTTGTCGGAGTTGGGATGGCGACGGTTCTGTTGGAAGCGCTGTTGTTGTTGCTTCCGATGCTGTTGACAGGGCTGGAACTGTTGGTGGCCCGTAAATTGTGAGTACGGTTGGTACCTATAAGATGGATGAGAACAGGACCACTTATGTCGGGATTGATTCGGGACCTCCATCTGGTGGGCTGTAACCCTCGACTCATGGATGGTCTTCATCTTGTGATCCGTCTGTGTGTTGAAGAGCCCTGAACCGTCGAAGGGCATCTCTTCAATCCAGCATTTTGTCTCATCCGGAAAATTGCAATTCTGGAGCCCTGTATGACGGCGGAGGGCAACGGCACCAACAAGAGCTCTAGAGTCGGAATCGACATGATGTCTTGCTGTGGTAAGCTGTTGGACTGCCACATGCATGGCCTCTTTAATGAAGATCCAAGCCAGGTCTTTCTGCTTGTCTGGAAGTGAAGCCGTAATATTTTCTAGCTTTTGCATAAGAAAATATTGATATCGAGCCAGCATGGCTTCGTAATTAGAAATGTGGAGGCCAAGTCCTGTAGTGGCATAGATCTGGTGAGTCAACATGTCAATTTTGCGGCCCTCTTAATCCTGGAGGGTAGTATGTCCCCTCGACTCGCATCCTTGTGACAACTTCACAACTATCGAGTTTGGTCTCGGATGACGCAGGAGGAATGGACTATCCTGCTCACGGACTCGATACTTGGCCTCGTACCAGCGTGAGGTGGGTTGAGGCTGATTAGGATAGTTCCAGGGCTCCATCATGGCCTGGCAAAGAGTTGTGATGAGTGGTAGAATGATGGCGGCTGACTGTTCACCCTTGACAATGTCATAAAACTTGTCGGTATTGGGATTGAAGCGGTGTTGGGCCTCGATCTCAAGTGACCTCGTAAGCCTTGCCATCAGTTCTCCAAAGGTCACATAGGGTTCCTCCGGTGAGCTGGGACCCTGTGTAGAAATCACCGCGTCTGGTGAAGTCGACACCACTTTGGAGTCATCCGAGTCTGAATCGTAATGAGGCGGGTAACTCGAAGAGGAGTCAACTGGCGAGCTGGAACACCTGGACTGAGCTGCTCTCGAGGTCGAGGGAGCATCTCTCGGTACCGGAGAGAGAGTACGATCCCGCACCGATGGATAGTAGTCGTAGGGTAGATAATCATCCCATGGCTTGCGATGAGACGGCCTATGGGGCGGCTGCACCCATTCTTCCGAGGGACGGCTAGAGGTGTGCTGTTGATACCGCACCTACTGAGGAACAGCCCTTGGGGAAGGCTCAGGTGATGGTTGAGGAGTAGGAGAGCGAGCCACTGGAGGAGAGTCACGAATCTCTCCATCGGAGATTGATCCCCGCAAAGGAATGTCCCATTGCTCAGGGGAAGACTGGACTGAGCGTACAACCCGTCTTGGAGACCCAGGCGGGGTTACTTGCATGGCCAACTGGAGCACCGGTCCAGTCGGTGTCGGTACCATGACAGCTGTCAGAATCGATGGAACAGATGAACCAGAATCATGATGCGTGGGATGATCGGGTTTCTTAGGCTTATGAGCCGACTTCTCCGTCTTGTCCTTCTTAGGCTTCTTATGGCCTGAGGACTTATCGGATCTGCTATGCTTCCTCTTCTCCTTTTGTTTGTGAAGAGATGAAGAGGAGCGTTGACCCTCCGGCACAGGAGCACCATCAGGTGACGGGTGGGGCGGGGGTGTGGTGGAAGCAGAGGATGGAGGAACGAATTTGCCTGCCACTTGGTCAGATTGGAGCAGGGCGTGGTCCCACAAGAGTTTACGCAGGCAATTTTCCCAATTTTTTCTCGCCTGTTTGGTAAAGGCCTAGCAATGGCTGCATTTATCGGTTCTGTGCCCTTCTTCAAGGCAGAGAAGGCACAGATCGTGCGGGTCAGTAGGTGACATTTTGGACCCGCACTGAGAGCACTTGCGGAAAGCCACACACTGCGTCATCGAAGAAGACTAAGAAGATAGAAAAGTAGATAGAAAAAAGGAGGTAATATATTTTTGGTTTTTTTTTTAACAGTAGAAGAGAGGAATAAGAAGAAAACTTCTAACAGGGAGGGAAAAAACTTGGAATCGTAACAGCAAGAGATAATATCAACTAGAGAGAATATCAACTAGAGAGAATGAATACAAACTGAGAGGTGAAAGGCTCGAGGCACAGCGAACGGTGGTCGCAAGAAGACTGAGGAAATGGCAGGCATTCCGCCCTATTCATACCACTGGGGAGGAGGGGTGTGGAGTTCCTGCCAAAAACCGTTAAGCTTTCAGTCTTTCTGGCCATAGGCACTGCGCAGGCGCAGTACCCATATGTGTGATGCACAGAGGCCATGATGAAGAACTGCATTAGGAGTATACAAATTGCTGCTAGTGTTTCTCCCTTCATCATCATATGCAACCACATAAATTAGAAATGCTATGTTGAGTTGTACCCACTGGTATTCTTTCGCTAAAGAGTTCTGTCAGAGGAACTGGGAGGGGACAATTCCTCCTCCATCTGTGTACCTTACAGAAAAGTTTTCTGGGTTGGGAGGAGAACCATCTGGACCATATTTCCAGGCAGGCAGAAAAATCTGTTAGATCAGATATCTGGGTGGTATGGAGGGCTACAGCAGGGAGGAGAGAGGGAGAAAGGCAGGTTGCTTACCTATAACTGTCATTCTTCAAGTGGTCAACTGTGCATCACACATATGGGTGCTGTGCCTGCGCAATGCCTGCATTCAGGAAAATTCTCTCAGCTATTAATACTTCTGGCAGGAACTCTGCAGCCCCTTCCCCTCATATAAATAGACGGAGTCCTCGCCCTATCGCCAGTCCAGCTGGAGACCAACCATTTGCCCTAGATGGTACTGACACATTAGAAAGTAGCTTTTCTGTCCCCCACTGGAAGGGCAGCAGATGTCTCCTCCTGGGATGTCGATGGCAGATCTGCAGGCTGTTGTGGTCTACAGCGTGAAGCAGGCATCGGATATGGAGATCCGTAAGGTGGGAAGAAATCCCACGCAAATCTGGGTCCATATTCTTGAAATGGTAGGAGCATCCAATACTGGCTTCTCCCGTACCAACTGATCTTTGGTTTTGAACATATGGATGGATCTGTGCATTGAACCTGGAGAGGTACGAGTTGAGGGCAGTCCATACAGTGTAGGCATGTGGGGATGCTGGACTTGCTCCTGAGAGTCATCAATCATCTGTACCAAGAGTTCAGATGGTATTGGAGATTGTGTTGGAAACTCCTAAATTACTCCATCCAAGATGGACAAGTGCAGTGTAGGTTCAGGGCAGCAAAATCCAGATGGACTAGCTCGGGAGCAAAGAGATGGTCTTGAAGTTGTTCCATCTTGGTGATGGACTCACCACACAGCATGGAGATGGTTTCAGAGTTGTCCGTACCGATGGGGCTCGAACTAGAGTCTCTCTTGGTACCAATGGACTCAGTTCCATTGCCATATGGTGTGGAACCTCAGAGTGGGCAGAATGGGAGTGCTGTTTGCACTTCTTTTCCGGCTTCTCCTTCCTGGGACATTTTTCTTTTTTGATCTGAAGATGCTTGCATTTCTTATGTTTTTTAGGAGACTGAGACCTGTCAGGACAATCTTTTGTAATCCCAGCACCCTTACCCATCAGCTGAGCAGCCAACTTTGAGCACTCAGTGGTGCTTCTTTTGGTAGAAAGTTTGCCAGAAGTGGCCTCCTTCATGGGAATAAGAGCTCTGTCCCAGAGATCTTTCTTCAGCATGCTTTCACAATTCTTGTGAGCCTATTTCGTGAAGTCTTGGCAGTGGATGCTTGTCTACTTGGTGCCCTTCTCCAAGACACAACAGGCAGAGTGAGCACGTGTCTGAAGACGGCATTTTCGCTCCACATTGTGCACACTTTCTAAAGGCAGAAAACTGTGTTATCTAGAAGAAGAAGAAGAAGAAGAAGAAGAAGAAGAAGAAGCAGAAGCAGAAGCAGCAGCAGCAGCAGCAGCAGCAGCAGCAGCAGCAGCAGCAGCAGCAGCAAAGTAAAAGAGGAAGAAGAGAAGTAAACGATAGTGAGAGTTTTTTATATACTTTTTTGTGAGAGGAATAAAGGTTGGTTGGGGGGAGGAGGATTATGGGATTAAGGTAGAAGAGGATATAAGTGAATAAAGTAAAAGGTTTAGGAAGATTTAAGATTTAAGAAGGATATGAGACAATGAGATATATGTGAGGAAAACGGAAAGTAGATTGAGAGGCACAGTGAATGGTGGTCGAAAGTGGACTGGCGATAGGGCGGGGACTTTGCCTATTTATTAGGGGTGCAGAGTTCCCACCCAAAATAATACTAGCTGAGAGAATTTTCCCAAATGCAGACACTGTGCAGATGCAACATATGTGTGAGGCACAAAGACCACAACAAAGAAAGTCCTATTGCACTAGGGGACTTCCTTTAGCATGATATTGAATTAACCCATTTTGACCAAACTACATTAAAACCAACAGAATGTACCACTGACTTAATTTGTCAAATCTTAGAAGCAGGGGACATGAGGAATTTCCAAACAGTTGTATATTTATGACACTATAATCTGCGTGAAAACAGCACAAAACCACCTAGTGAAAGGAGAGGAAGCTGAAAACCATTAAAATAATGTACTTCAACACAGTACATTATTTGGAAGGGTATTCATGTTATGGGAAACACACTGGAGTTTTTCAGGTCCAGTGCAAATATATACCCAAATGTCCAAAAACTATTGTAGGGTTTGAGAACTACTACTAACTTCAGCAACACAAGTGCTAATCAGTTCTTCAAGAAAACAAGTACTTGCAAAGCAATTTGTGCACACCTACAAATGCCAGTGAATGCTCCTGTTACCTTTCTGCCAGCTATGTATCCTCCAGCTGCTCCAAAGCTTTTGGTGAATGTTCCCATCAATACATCAACATCATTGGGGTCCATTCCAAAGTACTCCACAACTCCCCTGCCTGTTGGGCCAATTGCACCTATGCTGTGGGCTTCATCCAAGTAGAGGTAGGCTTTGTATTTTCTCTTCAAGGCAACTATTTCTGGTAAGTGTACAATGGAGCCTTCCATGCTAGGGGAAACAAAGAAAACTATTGAGCACTCATGGAGGGATGACCACCACTTATGTATAATAACACAGGGCTCATGCAATTAATTGCTCTAAATAGCTCCGGCCATGTTATCCAAACAAAACTGAAGCATAATCACATCTACTTATGAGCAATTACCAGCCCCTCCCCCAAAACTCCCACCAAAAAACAAAGTTCCATTGGAGTTCCACAATGGTGGCTGAGCTTTAAATCTGTTATTGTGTTCATACTTATTGTGTTCATTCTCAGAAACTGTTCTGAATATGAGCTTTTTGTTTTCTTTTTTATATCTTTGGCTGTTTTTCATGTTGTGCCTGCTATTTGCACATTCTGGTCCAATACTTTTCATGGTAGGCAGGAATGAAAAGTGGAAGAACAATGCAGGAAGGAGATGTTGTGTGAATGCATGTTTTGAGCAACATATAAAGCATGTCTGCTTTAGTTTAAACCTATTTAAAGATCCATAGACTGGTTTGGGTAAACTATCCAGTATTGAGGGGTAACTGATATAAATATATATCTGAAATATGCCATGGTGTACCTTCAGATGAACTTGTGTGACAAAATGGCTTGATGCCAGTATGTCAGAAAGGAATAATGATATCATTTTATATGGTTACACTAAGCATAACATGCTTGCTTGCTCTTTAAGTTTTCTTTTCGTTCCACACTCTACCGCAAATTGCCTTCGATACTTTATCAAAAACAGCACCAGAAGGTCCAGTGTGCACAACAATTAGAAACAACATGCCTTGGTAGTACTGTGTTCCTAAATCCTATCAGCAGCAGCTCATACTTGCATTTTAAGCACAGTCCAACCACTAAAACAGTAGCTGGGATACTTCATAGTGATTTGACTGGCAATACAGCCAGTCAGGTGTCTGCATTGCTCAAGTATTAGTCATCAAGTTGTTAACATCAGAACACAGGATTCTTATGGTTCATGAGATTCAACATGTTGCAGTATTACTAGAAAGGTGATCAATTTAGGATATGAATTGTGTTTTTATAGTTGGGTGGCTTGATAATTTAAATAATTTTGTATGGTGAACTGTACTATGCAAATACATGTGCATGGACACATACACACGTGTTTGAACATCTTCGGGCAGTCATTTTATCCTAATAAGCCAATGTGGTAGACCTAGGACCTGGGAGATCCAGGTTCTAGACCCCACTTGGCCATTAAGCTCACTGGGTGACTTAGGTCCCATCGCTCACTCTCATCTTAACATGTCTTACAGGGCTGTTGTGAGGATAAAATGGAGCTATGTAAGCTATCTTGGGTTCTTCAAAAGAGGGGAAAAGGAGGGACTTAAATGCAATGTAATAGTAATAATAAAGTTGACAAACAAATCTAGAGGTTTCCATGCACAGTACATATTTTAAAAAAATCTTCAAAACATTCCCCAAAACAATTGGTGCTTTTCCTGTAAGAAGTACATCTCCTGTTTTATTTTAAGACTGAAATACATGGCAATCACAGTTGTTTCCTTTTAACAAATGCACCCCAAGGCCACCTAGGGTGGCTGCAACTGCAAAGATCAAAGACAGGTAGGGAAGAAGCTGCTTCCCATTTTGCACATCAAAAATAATCTCCCCAAACTGCTTTTCATTTGCAGTGGGAAGATACTGGCAATGACCTGGTTTTCATTATACAACAACCTGTGATCAGCCGTGGTGGTTTGTCATATTGTATGAACCCAGCAGGATTTCTGGGTTTATTTTCCACAGACAAGCCAAAATGAGAATTTATGGCTTGTTTTAGGGATGCTGTGTTGCCCAAACTTAGCAGGAAGATTTTATCATGGCTTTCCAGAAACATCTAAAGAGCCACCCAGCCAGAGCAGCAAAGACATTTGTGACTCCTTGTGATCTTCCTTTTCATCACCCTTACCCCTTTTTAGTAACCCCACCTCAAAAAGACACAAATATCAAGATAGTGAAAAAGGGAAGGAGGTGACAAGTAGGAAGGGGATTGGAGAGCTGAAAGTGGTTGAAAAGATAATGCTTTGCTAGCAGGTACTCTTATTTCAGGATAGAGTGAAGCAGCCTTTAGCATGGCCAACTCTAATATGGATGATGAAGTTGACAAGGTCATTGACAAGAGAGTAAGCTGGGCTAAAAAGTAGGAAGTTGGCCTTGTGCTCTCGTACAATAGCAAACCTCTCTCTGCAAAAGCTGGTCTACATGGCTCTGAGTTTGTAAGTGCTCTGAAAGTTAATTCTATTTGACAGTGTGATGTATGAAGATAGGACTTTTCTCTTAGTTATCTGCGAACCTCAAAAACCAATTGTATAACAGTATTCACACAGGGACTTAGGCAACAAGGTTTTATGCTGCAAAGGTGCCTGAGATAATTGTGGGAACCAATGGGAAGACTGAGGGAGAACGATACAGGAAGAAAAACAAATTGTAGTGAGCACAAACATTTTTTGAGAGTACTTTGGATTGTTCAGTAAACAACCATCCCATGATAACATGTGAACCTGACCTATGTTTCTTTTTTTCCCCCCAGTATAGGCAAAAACTTTGGGCAGGGCAATTCTGAGCTGATCCTCCCCACCAAAGCAACAACCATAACAAACAAATGCAGCCTACCTCAAGTTGTGTCAAGTTAAAAAATACTATACCAAGTAGTAACGTGTAGTTTCAACTTCAGGCACTTACCTACCATTTGCTATGAAAATTCATTTTTATGGCTTTCATGCATAGGCTTTCTAAAAGAGCAACCTCAATGTTGCTAGCATTTCAGCCAGTGTTTGTTATGAACAATTTAACCCCCATCTCTGAACAACACACATTCATTCTGCAAGACTAGAGGAAGTCTACTACATTTATCTTACTGCATAAATGAAATAAGCATCAGTCATTTTGATACCTCATGCTGTCTTCATGGAATCAGAAGAACAGAAACTGGTGAACTGTTTGCATTCACATTTGCTACTTTAGTTAGTAAACCATAGCCCATACTTCAATCTAAAATAAATTCCCAAAGCAGGTAAAGATAAGAACAATTTAACAACAAAAGAATAGTGAAACAGTTAAAAACCTAACATGTACAGCAGCGAAATAAAAATCAATGTAGTAAAAGATCAGAGTAAAATGTGATATCGCAAAAATGTCCAGTACATTGAACAGTGAAATTTGGCAGTTGGCTGCTCTTTAATATTCAGTCAGAAAACTTGTACTTTGAACTGGTTAATGAACTGTGTCACCAGCTTTGGCTGGGAACTAAAAAGAGTATTCTCTTTTTAATTCCATGCACTCCAGAAGAATTTTGGGGTTGCATTTTTTCCAACAGTAGCTCATTCCAGGCCACACAGGCAACCTCTTCTGAAACCAGAAGGACTTTGGAAAACAGTTTGAGATGTGGCATATGGCACTATGGGGAGTGGCCTGCTGTTCAAACTCTAAAAGCCCACGAGACACACTGAAGCCCTTGAATACAACTGGAACTCTATGTTCAACACAGCTAAATGCGTCTAACAAGTCTATACTTCATTTTTAGATTCTTTTTAGCCAGATTAATTTGCACTGGCATATTCAATTGAAATGCCAGATTCTACATACCTGTAAATGCCCTCTACAAGAATAAGAATTTTTTTCCATGCTCTTCGGCTTCTAGGCTGTCCATGTACTACTGCGTCCTTCAATAGCTTTTCTAAGCTCTGTACATCTAGTTGCAAAAAACAAGAAAGTACTGCATCAAATGTTTATTCAAATCAGGCTATTACTGATCTTTATATCCTGCCATTGCGTAAAATACCAAGATGCCTTACAATAAAAATAAAAGTAGCTGAGCATAGCACAGATAGAAATGCAAAACCCAGTTTTGTTTAGGAGACTTATAGAATATCAGCTTGCTAAATATATGTAATTCTAATCTGGTACCAATGGTTTGGAACCAGTGTCTTTCCCTCAGTCACAGAAGTGTTCTAATCCAGCAAAGTGCTTCCATTGATAGGATGGGTTATCTTTACCAGTTCTTTCTTCTCCCTACAGTTCCCTATCCTCCCACAAAAATATCTGCTCTGGACAGTTGAGTGATTTCCAGAACAGTGGAGGAAGTGGCACTGGGAGCTGCAAATGGAAGAGAACTGGCAAAGATTTCCTTTTCGCTTTCTGCTGGTAGAATCATTCTTAGCAAAGTAGTGCAATCCAACCTGATATAAATGTTGTTGTTGTTGTTAGTAGTGAAGTCATGTTTGACCCATCGCAACCCCATGGACAACATTCCTCCAGGCCTTCCTGTCCTCCACCATCTCCCAGAGTCCACTTAAGCTCACACCAACTGCTTCAGTGACTCCATCCAGCCACCTCATTCTCTGCCGTCCCCTTCTTCTTTTGCCATCTATTGTTCCTAGCCTTAGGCTCTTCTCCAGTGAGTCCTTCCTTCTCATTAGGTGGCCAAAGTATTTGAGTTTCATCTTCAGTATCTGTCCTTCTAAAGAGCAGGCAGGGTTCATCTCCTCTAGGACTGACCAGTTTGATCACCTTGCAGTCCAAGGGACTCGCAGGAGTCTTCTCCAGCACTACAATTCAAAGGCCTCAATTCTTTGGTGCTCAGCCTTCCTTATGGTCCAACTTTCACAGCCATACATTGCAACTGGGAAAACCATAGCCTTGACTATATGCACTTTTGTTGGCAGGGCGATGTCTCTGTTTTTTCGTATGCTGTCTATATATGCCATAGCTTTCCTCCCCAGGAGCAAGAGTCTTTAAATTTCTTGGCTGCAGTCCCCATCCATGGTGATCTTGGAGCCCAGAAAAATAAAATCCTGTCACCACCTCCATTTCTTCCCCAGCTATTTGCCAGGAAGTGATAGGACCAGATGCCATGATCTTAGTTTTCTTAATGTTGAGTTTCAAGCCAACTTTTGCACTCTCCTCCTTCACCCACATCAAGAGGGTCTTTAGTTCCTCTTCACTTTCTGCCATGAGAGTGGTATCATCTGCATATCTGAGGTTGTTGGTATTTCTCCCACCAATCTTATTTCCAACCGGTGATTCATCTAGCTCTGCCTTTCTCATGATGTGCTCTGCATATAAGTTAAATAGGCAGGGCGACAGTGTACAGCCTTGCCGAACTCCTTTCTCAATTTTGAACCAATCAGTGGTTCCGTGCCCAGTTCTCACTGTTGCTTCTTGACCCGCATATAGTTTTCTCAAGAGACAAATAAGATGGTCTGGGACTCCCATCTCTTAAGAACTTGCCACAATTTGTTGTGATCCACACAATCAAAGGCTTTAGCATAGTCAATGAAGCAGATGTTTTTCTGGAACTCCCTAGCTTTCTCCATGATCCAGCGTACGTTGGCAATTTGATCTCTAGTTCCTCTCCCCCTTCAAAATCCTGCCGGTACTTCTGGTAGTTCTCGGTCCACATACTGCTGAAGTCTAGCTTGTAGGATTTTGAGCATAACTTTGCTAGCATGTGAAATGAGTGCAATGATGCGATAGTTTGAACATTCTTTGGCATTGCCCTTTTTTGGGATCAGAATGTAAACTGACCTTTTCCAGTCCTGTGGCCACTGTTCCTCTCCTCCTGTTTCTTTCTGTGTGACTTATTTCATTGCAGCACTGAAGGGGTGTTCCTTGGCAGCAAGACATCTGCTGGACATTTGGGGAGAAAGGAGCATGGAGGGAGATAGATAGGAAGAAGGATGCAAGGCTACTCAAGGTGCTTGGGCAGTTCAAAGATCCTTAAGTTGCTTTCCTGCTTTTCTGTCCCCCATTCTGTCTCCTTCCCTCTTTAATTTATGAGTGCTTTCTTCCTCTCTCTGAAAAAAATATAGTTTGCTGTGTCTTTCCAAGCCTTTTTGATTGTTTCTTTTGTTATCCTGCTCAAGAAACAACTAGCTGAACCACGTCTTCTCAGAAGTAAAACATTATAATAAACATTTACTCACATATACATCTGACTTAAATGGAGCTAACTTGTAGGTGGAAAATCTCAGGGTGAGAAGGTTATACTTGCTTGCTTTGGGGCTAAGGAAATGTTAGTAATAACAAATCCAAATATCCCATTCAATAAAGGTGCATTTGAATAGGAACCAGCAACTGAGAAGGCCACAGTATCAAAATACTGCAACAGTACTCTTCCACAACACACATGGATAGAGCAGGGAAAATGATGAGGGAAGGTGTTAAACTTTCGCAGATTATCTTGTGGGCAGCTTCTCTTCCATGAAGGAACAAGGAGAACCTGTACAGGACAACTTGCACAACTTGTATATGTAGTACAACAGTGGTTCTCAACCTGTGGTCCATGGAACCCTGGGGGGGACAATATTGTCATAGGGGGTTTGCAAGGCTTGAAGAAATGTTATGGTTTTTGCAGTTAAATTTGAATGAACAAATGAGTGAACAAATGAAAGCAAGAGGGAATGGGAAATAGAAGATGATCTTAATTTTCCATGTTGTTTTGTAAAACTTTGCTTTTTTAACCTATTGCTTCAATTAAAAACAATCTGAGGTATAAATTGTCTATGAGAGTAGCTGTCTGATGGCAAATAGCTCCATTTGGTATTTCTGCACATGCTGAGAACATGCAAGTGAATGACTCTGAGTGGCAGAGAGAAAGCACGTGACATTTCTTGCTACTGTGCAGGCAATCAGAGACCATGAGGCAGAGAAAGACGACTCAGTCATGGTCAGTGTGAGTGAGCGTTCAGACTGATTTCATAATCTTCTTCGCTTTCTGCTAACCATTTGGTTATCATTCATTAAGGTGGTTTTTTGATATTGCTTCAGTGGATTTCATGACAATGCATTTCAGTTTAGCCTTAGGATGGATCGCTGGCTGAATCTGAAATGTAAGGGAACTGATGATATCGATGAGGGTACATCCTGTTCAAAGCAAAGTAAGGGTTCCAGTTATTTAAAAAAGTACCATTGTTATAGCAAGGAATATCTGTTGATTGGCTTCACGTGTACAGGTCCTGAGGACAAGCAAATACCACAGTGTGTGTTATGAGGTAGCTTAAAATCATGGTTTCTGCATTGATCAGCAAGCAAGCTGCCAAGCACCTTTTTACAATAAAGTTAACAGATTAACTTATTTCCCCTTCTCTCCAAATCTGAAGGCCTTTCATAAGAAAATTGAAATAAATGTTTGATGCAGACTAGTCCTTTAAATCTTGAGTAAAGTCTTGGTGATCTGTGGCCACAAAAGGTATTTAAAGGGGGTCCATGGTGAAGGAAAGGTTGAGAACCACTGTAGTAGAATAAATGGGTCCTTAGCTGTGTTTCCTAGGGTGTGCTGCCCTGCAGCTTCAACCATCAGCTCAGTCATGGCCACTGGGTTCTTCAGATAAGGAGACAGCAAGAAGAAGGAATATCATAATCCATGGTGTAGCATTTTGTGCTAACTAGGCCATTGTCTCAGTGCCTTTTGGGCTGTTCCATCAGAAACGATAGAGATCTATTGGGTATTGGATATCTATGCTCATGGTATCATCAAGAATTCTCTAAGGATGAGGATTCACATCTCCTATTGTTTTAAATGCATACTATATTCTAAAAATATAACAAGAGTGTCTTAGTGAGATTTCTGTACCCAATGTACATAGAAACTGCTCCATCTGTGCTTGTTCTGGTGAAAGCTCTCATAAGCACTCTGCACATGCAACCTTTCCTTTTCTATCAAAGTTATGTAGGAACAAAAGGTCCTACATAAAGTGGCCTTAAATTCTGTAGAATTAAAAATTTCTGCCTGAATTTTTCCATGTCAACTCAGTACCCCCCTGGAATCTTTTTTAACTGTTGACCTAACTTTAAATTTTTCATAAGGACAGAGAGGAACTAAAGACAACAGAACATCATGGTTATGATAAACTGGATATTAATACAAGTGGCTGCTTTTGAGATGTGGTTCCTGTAATGATTTGGTTCTCTGGGTTCAAAGGTTCACACTGAAAGATTTGTGAATAAGGCTTTCTGCCATAATAAAATTTGAGAGGTGCCTTTCTTGACATTTGGTTTAAATTGGGTCCAAGTCTAAATCATTATATGCATGGCTATCAACTGAAGAGCTAAATACATTTTAGTTTAAGTTCTCTTAGCAACATGATACATTTTAAAGTAGCTGGGCTTATTAGATCATTTAAAGAAAAGATTAATGAGACAATGGAACAGTTTCTCAGTCAACCCAAAATACAAATAAACTAACAATAGTGCATCAGCTTTTTCACAAGTGTTAGTAAAAAGTGAATCTACTTATAGGATAATAAAATTTATTTAATGCCCACAGCATGGACAAAAACTGCATGGGCACAGCACATTTCAGTTATTCATTATTAGAGGAATCATAAATACTGCTGCAAAGTTAGAGTTAGGTATAAATATAAGAGATTGATCCCACGATGCCCACACAGCACTTAAGGGGCCATTGGTTTGCCCTGATTCCAGGATTGGAAGTCACAAGCAGAGGTCTGACCTTGGAGCAGGGTATCCAGGTTTGGTTCCCCATGCTCACCTCACAGCGTGGAAAGAACCAAGCAGGTTGTCTCTCTTTCATAATAGCAACCTCTGAGAAGGTGTAAAGAAAGTATTCCAGGAGGCAGGGAGTGGAGGAGACAAGGCTGCCAGGATATGAAGTACTGTGATAGTGCTCTAGCCTCCCTCTTTCCTCATTCAAAGTGCTGCAGCTAGATGGCCAAAACAGCAGTCACAGGGTAGGAAAAGTTGGGAGGTAGGGATACCCTGGATAGGGTATCTGTAACCCTCCAAGTTCAAAGGCGAATAGATTGCAGCCTAAATAGGTTTTATTATTTATTTATTTAAAGTTTTTGTATGCAGTCCCCTTGCTATATAGCCCTGGGATGGCTCACACAAATTAATAAATATAGTATAAACACAGTTAAAATCTGGAAACACCCTGGTTAAAATGTATTTCTTTGCAGCTTACTTTTCATGTATTTGCAGCCTTTATCAGCTTGTTTATGGTGCATTATTGCAGGTATACCAGAAAATTCCCAAACCATGTCAGTCAGGCAGGTTGTTTAATATATCATTTTCCAATACACTCATACAGGTTTAACTGAAAGGTCAATGTTAGGGGGCATTCAAATAAAGTATTTGGATGTATTTTCTGATAATGTTAGGAGTTAACCAATATTTAACAACAGAGAAAATCTTCAGGAAAGCTTCTTCCAAAAGTGCTCCAGTGGGAATAAACTGAGGAGTTTTGTTTCATGCAAAACAGAAGACTGGTTTTTTTAAGCTTAATGGAATTGTTAACATATTATCTGCAGAGAAATAGCTCCATATGTGACAGAAGATCCTTTGAGGATGCACAAGTCAGCCTCACTTCTTTGAATCATGCTTTACTCAAAATGCCTAACATAAATACTCACTGTTGTGTTTAAAGATTCTGATAGTGGCTCCAGAGAGCCTTGCACCAAGAACAAGTGAAGCATGGTTCAGTTCATCACTTAAAATAAGACATCCCTGTGAAAGTACATAATTAATTACAAGGTTAGAATAAATACACCAGGTTATATAATTGTACTAATATGTGGAGAAGCTGTGGCACTCCAGATGTTATTGGGCCACAACTTCCATCAGCCATGAGCCCTAAGTACTGATCGTTCCAATCTCTATATTTGTCCAACATCTGGAGGGTTGCAGGTTCCCCAACTCTATAGACAGAAAGAGTAGAATGCTGGCTATTTATTATTACATTTTTATTTATTAAATGTATTTTCAGCCCAGCCTCCCTACTAAGATATGGAGCAGTAAACAAAAAACATAAGATCTAAAATATAGCACAAGCACAGTATATTAAAGATGTTACAATGAAAACAGAGCAGATGCATAATAAGCTTGCAGACTAAGTTCAAACCAACATATATTGTTGATACTTACTCATACCTGATTTCTGACAGCTTTTGACCTATCTGATGCAGGCAACTATCAAAAATGTACCACTTTTATTTTTTGTGTAAAGCTTGTAGCCCACCAATCTTGGCTAAAAACTTTCATACTCCATCCTCATTGCCAATGCTGGCTAAAGCTGACGGGGGTGTGCAGCCCAAAGCATCTCAACAGTCACCACTGCTTCCCTCCACCTCACAACCCACTGTAACATTTCCTAACTAATGTTTGTTGTTGGAAAAGTCTTGGTTAGATTTCAAGGAGTTATCAATTTTACTAGCTAAAACAAACACTCTTGCAGGAAGGAAGGCGGTATCTTTGTTTATGTCTTGGACAACTGTGTTTTGTGTGGAAGTAATGCCTTAAAACACTGACCATTATCTGACCTGACAGAAGTAAAGGGAAGTTTAGCTCATCTTTCAGTATAGTGGACTACACAGGTTCTGCTAAAATTGAATTTAGTTGAAAAAATTGATCTATGGGCTTCCCACCCCGCTGTCGACACACTGAAGACTTGAATCTTAAGCCATCTCGTTTTAGATCTGAACATCACTTTTAAAGAAAAAAAAAACTTTAACATAGTTCCAACTGCAAATTTGGAAGTGAATTTGCAGTCCGAAACCTAGCAAACTTACTTCCTAATTTTACTGAAGGTAATATAATAAATAAAATTGGATCCAATCAAATCAAAAGCTGAACAAATGAAAGTTGCACTTTACTATGAATAAAAGGGACCCTTGAAATTATATTCTGTAGACTGCATTTCCTCTGATGATCAATACTCATCTTAAAACACAGATATGCAAAAAATAAAATTCCTAAAACATTTCATTTGCTGTACACAAGCAAACCAGAATAGATTTTTAAAGTGTCATCACAAGAACAGTCTGTTGCCTTGATTTACAGGAAGTGGTTAACTCTTTTCTGAGGGAGGGTCGGGTGCCTGCCCCTTCAAAGGAGGCGGTAGTCCGACCGGTCCTGAAGAAAGCGTCACTAGATCCAGAGATGGCCCCTAATTATAGACCAGTGGCCAACATCCCGTTTCTGGGCAAGGTGTTAGAGCGGGTGGTGGCGGGACAACTCCAAGCTCTCTTGGATGAAACTGATTATCTGGACCCATTTCAGTCCGGCTTCAGACCCGGGTATGGTACTGAATCTGCCTTGGTCACCCTGTACGATGACCTGTGCAGGAAGAAGGACAGGGGGAGTGCATTCCTGTTGGTTCTCCTGGACCTCTCAGCGGCTTTCGATACCATCGACCATGGTATCCTTCTGGATAGGCTAGCGGGATTGGGGGTCGGAGGCACTGCTTTGCAGTGGTTCCGCTCCTATCTCAATGGCCGATTCCAGAAGGTGGTATGGCTCTGCACCATGGCTGCTATGCCATGGAGTACCGCAGGGGTCCATTTTGTCCCCTTTGCTGTTAAACGTCTACATGAAACCACTGGGAGAGGTCATCAGGAGGTGTGGGCTGCGGAATCATCAGTACGCTGATGATACCCAGCTCTACCTCTCATTTTCCACCAATCCAGGTGAGGCAGTGGCTGTACTGAACCACTGCCTGGCCGAGGTAATGGGCTGGATGAGGGCCAATAAACTGAAGCTCAATCCAGACAAGACGGAGGTCCTGTTGGTTGGCGGATCGGGCTTTGGAGAGGGTGAATTGAACTTAGTCCTGAATGAGAAGGTCCGCAGCCTGGAAGTGCTCCTCGACCCAGAGCTTTCATTGGAAGCTCAGGTGACAGCAGTGGCGAGGAGCGCTTTCCTTCAGCTTCAGCTGATCCATCAGCTGTGCCCCTACCTGGAGTATGACTGCCTGGCGACAGTGACACACGTGCTGGTGACTTCCCGCCTTGACTTCTGCAATGCGTTCTACATGGGGCTACCCTTGAAGACGGTCCGGATACTTCAATTGGTTCAAAATAGAGCTGCCAGGCTGCTGACGGGGACTGGGCGTTATGTTCACATGACTCCAGTCCTCCGTCAGCTTCACTGGCTTCCCATTGAAGTCCGGGCCCAATTCAAGGTGTTGGTTATGACCTATAAAGCCCTAAACGGCTTGGGTCCTGGTTACCTGAAGGAGCGCTTACATCCATATATGCCCGCCCGCCCCTTGAGATCTGCGGGAGAGGCCCTTCTCCAGGAAAGAAATTAGGAGGGTAGGTACTCAGAGGAGGGCTTTCTCTGCGGTGGCGCCCAAGCTATGGAATGCGCTCCCCAAAGAGGTCCGCCTGGTGCCGTCGTTATTTGTTTTTCGATGCCAGGTGAAGACCTTTTTATTTAAATGTCATTTTAATTGTTAATATTATTTGCTTATTTTATCTGGCGAGGGCGACTTATTTTATATTGTTGTTTTACATTTTGAATGCATTATATTTTAATTTATGTTGTGAGCCGCCCCAAGGCTTCGGTGAATGGGGCGGCACAGAAATGTTTTAAATAAATAAATAAATAAATAAAAGCTTTTGCACATACAATAACAAGTTACGTTCAGTAACAAATATTGTCTTGAACACTATTAACCAACCAGGAAGAACATAAAAGCCCAGCTGCATTAAACATAGAGTCTTTGTCCAAATTCCTGTTTCCAAAAGTAGCCACAGAATCCTTATGGAAGCATGCAAGCAAACTCCATAAACTTCTATAAAATGACCCCACTGGTTTACTGCAGTGGTCTTATTTTATAGAAATGCTTATAGGCACACACAAAAGACGTGGAACAAGCACATATCACTGGTATTACCCACCAGAAACTTTTCCTGCTTGAGGCCTAATAAAATGAACACACTATTGTTCAATTAGTATTTGGCTTGGTGAAACCTGGCTTGGAGAAGCTCCTGGTGGAACCGCTAGTTTACTTGTTTGTTAAAGCAAAGCCAATATTAAACAAGTTATTAAGTTCACACTGCAAATGGATTGTCAGAGAGATATAATAAGCAGAGTTATTCTTGTTTTCCACTCACCTTCCCAACCAATGCTGGAATGTTCATTGAATTTGTAGCAAACCCCATGCCAAATGCTAGAGATGCTTCCACACCAAGGAATTCAGCCACCAAATTTTCTAACTCCACATGTTTATCAAGATTGCCTGTTGTAAACAATTGAAAGTATTTTAGAAGCTCTCATCATTATCTCCTGAATAGTTTGCTTTGCAGATATCAAAATGAAGATATATCTAACGGATTATTTGGGAACTTGCATGAGATTTAAGAAAAATAGAGAGAATACTAACTAATTTTACTTGGACATATTGACTGTTAACTGAAAAGATTCTGCATACTGGAGTATTCAAGAACTTAAGTTTCAGAGTTGTGTTTCCATAGTTAGGTGAACCAGGACCTATTATGACACTGAAGCCTAACATTTGAGAAAGGAGATAGAGCAACTTTAATTAAACTAACCAGCAAGCACAGCAACATATAAAATAACCATTCTGTTCAGAATTAGTGTTCTGTCACTACAGATGTCCACATTTTGAGTGTGGATGTCCATAGGACTATTTGCAAACAGGCAGCTAAATGTGTATAAGTTCTCCTTCACTGATATCTGCAGTCCATGGAGACTGGCAGTAGTGCAGCCTTGTATACATGGATAGCTTTTGAATACCAAGCGAGCACTAGGAATATGGGCTGGAAGAGGGGAAACAATAATTTTACCTACTGATTTATTTATTAAATTTGACCATACCCCTAAGTAGCAAATTCCCTTGGGGCAGTTTACAATTACCAAAAAAAAAAAAAAAAAAAAAAAAATCAAACAGTAGAGGACTTACCAAAACAGAACTTGCCATGGGAAGGGCTTTCCAAAGATGTGGGGTGGAAATCATGACAGTATAGGCTCTTTTTTTGGAAGCCACCCATCACACTATTGTGGCAACCAGAGAATAGCCTCCAAAGGTAATACAAGTGACTGGGCAATAATTGTTTGACTATAGTGTCAGGTTTTAGCATGGTATGGGACAAAGTTGGAATAAAATACAGTTGTTCTTCGAAGAATGACAAAGGGAGAAGAGGAAGAAGCTGCCAAAGAAAATAACTGCACGGGACCTTCTCGAATTAAGACTGTAATCCCAAAAGTAGTACCTAGAGGGATTGGGGAGGAGAACTCCCATGTGCTGCAGGGATCATGCACAGAAAACCCATCAAGGTTACATTAACCTCTAATGTTGAAGTCTGATTCTGGACTGAAGGGGTTTTTTTTAAACCCATTTTACTCTTTTAAAAGAGAAAAAGAACCTGTAATTTCATGTGGGAGGGTTGACAACTTAACAGTTCCCAGATATTTTGTTCTACATTATAGACAATGATGACAGATGCTAGAAATTTTAGGCCAAAACAGCTGGAGGGCCACAAGTTGCCTGACCTCTGTTATACTGGCTTTACTATTCACTTAACAACCCACATTTCACTCTTTTTGATAGGCAGAAATATGGGGTGAAAAAATACCATGCAAATTTAATTTAGCTATTCATTTAAATGAGTGGATGCCATACTTCAGAATAATCCTGGAGGGACTTAAAGAACTGAAAACAATACAGCAAAGCTAAAACCACATCTTATTAAAAGCCATAAAGAAAGCATCAGAAGCACAACTGAAAGAAAATCTATATAGAAATAATATCATATCAATTAAAGTCAGGTGTAATGCATGCTGAAATGCCTGGGCAAATAAGATATCTCCACATTACACTGGAAAATCACCAGATTTTGAATTAAGTGAAACTTCTAGTTTGGGCATTCTATATATAGGCAGTATGTGACATTGGGCCAGTCACAGATTTCAGCACAACTTACTTTACAGGGTTGTTGTTGTGTGGATAAGATTGAGAGCAGCAGAGGGAGAATGATGTAAGCTGCTTTGAGTTATTTGTAAGAAAAAGGGTGAGATATAAATCTAACAAATAAATACAGGAAGCAAAACTGAGGAAGAACTCTTTTCCGGTTACCAATGTCTGAGGGAACCTTGAATTCTTCATGTTCAGGTATGACCTGAATAGACCTCAATTCATTCCTCCTCAACTAAATGCGAGAGATGCTTATTTTCTTGACTATTTCCCTCAAAAAAGGCATTTTCTATATGATGATGCTGAAGTTTGCATACTAAGTACAGATAATAAACTTTCTTATTATTTACTTCTGCATTGATGATATTCTCTGTCAAGTTTTTCAACTGGCAAGATGTTTTCCAAATGGCAAGGATTTTTTCAACTGGCAAAGCTAGTTGGCAAAGCTAGTTGAGCAGCTTAGGGTACAGTTTTTGGCAGCTCCTGTCTCCAGAACTGAATATTGATAATAATTGTTTGAATAAAAAACAAAATATATTTGACATTTACATTCCATAACTATACCAATTAGTAAAGTTATTATTTCCAGTTGAATCCATAAGCAGGGTTCTGTCCATCAGATACTCAGTGGATGTGAGGGAGGGGAATTCATATAATGGAGGGAGGAGGGAATAAGTTGACTTTTGCCTATTGTTTCTTTCCCTTTTTTGAAAAATTGTTCTGGAAAGTCAGAGAGCCCTCCATAACAAAATGGGAAATGATATTTTTTCTATGAACAGGAGCCTCTGTTGGATTAGCAGATTAGTAGCTATGTAACAAACAGTAGCTTGTTTACAGGAGGGCTATCCTGGATCCAAGCCAATGCATTAAATCTTGGAATAGTAGAATAAAATTTTAGCCAAGATTTCCCTACATAGCATCAACATTTCTGGCAATTTAAATTTACTTTTTGAATTAGAAGTTATAATTTATCGATTGGATTATTATGTGACATATTAGCTAATCACTTCAGGCTGCTTGAATGAACTAATCTAGTATCATTGCTATTTTCCTGCAATTAACCAGATCACCTTCATGAGATTACAGCAAATCAAGATGACAAACCAAGCATTCCCTAGCAAATATGCAGCCCTATCTGTAGGACAACAGCTCCTAGATCACAATGAAAATCAAGTCTTCATTCCATTTTGCAAAAGGCAAACCTGATTGACAAGGGTGTACAAGACCAGCCCTTTCACTTTGTACATTTCTAATTAGAGTGGAACCTCTGTGGGTGGTAGGTGAGTTATTCAAGCAAAACTATGAGACACTAACCAGATCTTATCACTGGAAGGTATGTGACAAGACCTTCTGGGTGGGGATGAAAGGCCTAATTCAGCTTCAAATGAGAAGTAAAGCAACAACCCAACCTATTTGTAGCCTTACTTTGTCAATGTCTATGGATGGTGCACCCTAAACTTTGATAGGAGTCCCCATTCAGGGCACAGATGAGAAAGAGCTGCACATTCAGGATAAGTGGGAGATATGTACCTGCACAACTCAGAAAATGTAACCCAAAATAATAAAAATCATGTAATTAAAACATTTGCACACATCTTATCTGCAAAAAGGAAAAAGGAAGAAAAAGGTTGAAGGGGAAAAAAGTTGCAGTGATCACAAAAGGGGTTACAGTCAGCATGGACTGAGATCAAGCCAGTGATCATTGCTGCAAAGTAGTGCTTGAACAGCTGTCACTGGCAACAACTTGGGTGAACTTGGAAGAAATATAATGCGGGTATGTCATTCTTGTTAAGCAGCTCACTTGTTACTTTCCTGTACCCACAGTGGGATTGGTCAGCTGAGTTTGGATGACAAGACAACCCACTGGGGGCACAGCAACCTACAGAACAAGACATGGGTTGCCAGAGTAGTTTGCTGCCCTCAGGCAATCACCTAGTGGAGAACAGTCTGAGCTCATACAAAGTGACAACCTACAATGGTTTTGTGTGTCACACAAAGCCAGTCAGCAGTTCCCTCTGGGTGCTAGAGCAGAGATGGTATTTATAAATGCTGAGGGGAAGTAGGGGTTTTTTTTGTTATTGATCATTGTGTATACACAATGGAAGGAACTTACTAAACAGGATATCTCTGCTTATTTTACTTGTCAATAACTTGGTGTATTAGTTGATCATAAATGATAGCTGCACAATCTAAATTTGAAAGCAGAATCCACAGCTTTCCTAGCAACTGAAATTAGTTAGTTCTGGACATGGCAACATTCTGCATCCATGCCTGCTAAGCAGTTTTACAATCTGTATAAAGAGAATGTGAATGTTTGGATCTATTTTATAAACTGTTCTGCGTGGATTCATCACGACTTTTGGGCATGGGACTGATACTACCAGTGCATTTGATCAGTTTAAAAAACTATTATTTAATAGTTAAATTGTGAAATGTCTGTATTCCCAAGTTATTTCAACCTTTTCACTTTTTTTTGTTTGAGTTAATAACAATTGTAACAACTTGCTTGTACTTGGCTAAAGAAACACAACAGTGCCCACTTTGCTTTCCATGTTCACATGAACCAAGGGAAAATTGGCTTCCTTAGTGTGGCTGTAAAGGGGACTTAGCACAGATATGAAACTATAATTTCCCTCATGAAGGCTCTTTCTCTCTCTACTGTTATCATTGGTTGACTGAACTGAGGGTGATAAATAATAGAGCAGGGACATTCCACCAGCCCTGCTAAAAGAATTAATTTGTTTCCTCTTCCATCCCCATTTCTTTTTCCTTCAGTATCACATCTTTTTGGACTGTAAGCCTGTGGGCAGGCTAAGTATAAGTAAATTGTTCTGGGAGTCTTTTTAGCTGAGCAACAGCATAAAATATTTCAAATAAACAAAATGTTCATGCCTACTAGGACTCATTCATCTGCTTCAAGAAATTAGAGGGAACCTTCAGCAGCATTAACCAAGATTAAACACCCCAGAGGAAAGTGAAAGGAATACACAATGCTTGTAATCTCTTAATCATATGTGCAAGCTCCAGATGCATAGGTTGACACGGGAAGGCAGTCTCTAAAGAGCCAGTTTAAGACAGAATGTATTTCTGTTGTCCTTGTATGAAATATAGAGCTGATAACAGCCTTTCCTTTGATGCAGCATGGGGAAAGAGGGAGCAAAAATGGATTATATGGCTTTGACCTCAGGCAGCAGGCAAGGCAACTGCAGATGCATGCACATGCACTATGGACCTAATAATGCCAGCAAGAGGTTGCAACCCCTCATTAACTGTGTTAATCATCCTAACATTATTTTGGTTTTCTCTAGCCTCTGTAGCACCTGTTAAAATATGATGAAGCAATAAGGAAGCTGCTCTGAAGATTTCCAACTGGGCTGTTATTAGATGTTTTGCCTTGCTAAATCTCATAAAAGCAGCTGCTTTAAAACTAGAAGTGGTCTTGCTTTTCTGCACAGAAAAACTGTCACAAACAACAGGCTACATAAAGCGCATCTTTGGGCAGCATGTCACAATGCAAAAAAAGGACCTACTCGGATGTGGAAAAAGACTACAGTCTCTCTCTCCCTCTCTCTCTCTCTCTGCATTCATGTGTGCATGCATGTGTAGAAAGTAAGTTCAAGAGCAGTAATTAGATCCTTCTGTATATTTAATATACCATTCCTGTCAGTATGAAGTAAGATATAAACCAGCTTGACAAACGGATGCTCAGAAGGGGACGTAGTTCAGGGGCAGGTCACATGTACTGCATGCAGTATGCCTTGGGTTCAATCTTTCTCATCTCTAGGTAGGGCTGGAAAAACTGCCTGAAACTCTGGAGAATGATTGCTGCTCCTAAGTGTTAATGATAGTGGGCCAGGGGTTGGCCTGTACCCATTGGCCAGGATAGTGGGCCAGTCAATAGGTCCAGGAGGCTGTCAATGCCTCATTAAGATAGGGAGTGGTCCCTGGCCTTTTAAAGCAGGCAGTTGTGAGACCATATGGATTATCTGTATCCATTTCATTTGGGCTTTAGGCCTGGGTTTGGAACAGAGATGGCCTTGGTCGTCCTGTATGATGACCTGTGCAGGAAGAGGGACAGGAGGAGTGTGACCCTGTTGGTTCTGCTTGACCTCCAAGCAGCTTTCAACACCATCAACCATGGTGTCTTTCTGGACAGGTTGGCTGGGGTTGGGGTTGGAGGCACTGCTTTGCAGTGGTTCTGTTCCTAACTGGCTGGCCAGCCGAGTGCAGAAGGTAGTCCTGGGGAACTGGTGCTCTGCACCATGGCAGTTGCATCATGGGGTACCACAGGGTTCAGTGCTGTCTCCCATGCTTTTTAACATTTATATGAAGCAGCTGGGAGAGGTCATCCAGAGGTTTGGGCTGAAGACTCAGCAATATGCTAATTATATTCAGCTCTACCTCTCTTTTACATCTTATCCACGTGAGGCTGTCACTGTCCTGAACCGGTGTCTGAGCTTGATAATGGACAGGATGATGGTCAATAAACTGAGGCTCAGTCCTGACAAGATGGAGCTGCTGATAGTAGGGGGGGGGGTCATCTGACAGGTTGGAAGGCATTGCCCTGTCCTTGATGGGGTTGCACTCCCCCTAAGGGAAGGGGTCCACAGTCTGGGGGTGCTCCTGAACCCAGGTTTGTCCCTGGAATATCAGGTGAGCTTGGTGTCCAGGGGTGCTTTTCTCCAGCTACAGAGGATACACCACCTTTGTTCCTACCTGGACAGACAGAGCCTGAGAACAGTCACCCATGCACTGGTAACATCCAAAAAATTACTGTAATGCACTCTATGTGGACCTGCCCTTGAAGATGGTCCAGCAAGGCTGCTCGGTTGGTGACTGGAGCCACTAGGGCGGCCCACATAACACCTGTATCGAAAGATCTTTGGTTACAAATGGTGGCCTGGGCCCAATTCAAGGTGCTCGTGTTGACATATAAAGCCCTAAACGGTTTAGGCTCCTGTTATCTTAGGGAACACCGCCACCCATATGTGCCTACCTGCCTTTGAGATCTATGCAGGGGGCCCTCCTGTGTGAGCCATCCCTTAAGGAGGGGAGAGGGGTAGCTGCTAGGAGGAGGGCCTTTTCTGCAGCTGTTCCCCATATTTGGAATTGTCTCCCCAAGGAGATTTGCCTGATGCCTTCCTTATTTTCGTTTCGGCACCAGGTGAAGACCTTCCTTTTTAAAAAAACATTTTAATAACTAATTGCCATAGACCAGTGATGGTGAACCTTTTAGAGACTGAGTGCCCAAACTGCAACTCAGAACCCAGTTATTTATCGCAAAGTGCCAACACTGCAATAAAACCTGATTTTGCTGACCATCAGCACAAGGGGGCAATGTTCCACTGACCACCAGCTTTTGGCCAGCCCTGAAAAAGGAATCTGAGTGTATTTCCTACCTGACTGTATTTCCTACCTTTCCTACCTTCTGCTAAAATCACAGTCCAAGCAAATCCCCGGCAGCTCACTGACCGGCCATGTGAAAGCTTGGCGAGTCGTGGCTAATGAGTATCGTCATTGCCTGGCGCTGCTACTCCTTTCCGAATATGCGCATGACTGCTGGGGCCATCTCGTGCCAACACAGAGGGCCCTGTGTGCCCCTTCAGGCATGTGTGCCAAAGGTTCACCATCACTGCCATAGACCTTTGTTTTGTATGTTTTACTGTATTTTATTCTTGTTTTTAATGTGTAATATGTTATGGTTTTTATTATGTTTTATTGTGTTTTTGTGTTGTGAGCCGCCCAGAGGTGCTGTGGCACAATTGGGCAACATACAAATATTTTAAATAAATAAATAAATAAATTTATACAGAGGTGATGCCAGACTCTTTTGTGCTGTTGGTGTAGTGCTGCTGCCAATGGTGTCCTACTGTCACAGTGTCTCTTGCTGCTAAAAAGCATCCTGCTAATCTGCCACATGCTCCCCAAAGGATCCACATCCACCCATGCTGATCACCTGTAGAAGCTGCCTATTTGCATACTGAAGCCTGTTCTCCCTTCCTTCCACTCCAGGGTTTAAAAACAAAAACACTTCAAATTAATTTATTCTTCTACCTCTGAGTTAGTAAGCCCCATTAGTAAAGCACAGTGGTACCCAATCAGCTGAACTTTCAGGTTTCCTTTTTTAAAAAACTTACCTATGTAGTAGCAGTGATCTAAACTGCTGCTTTTGGGGCCATTGAGGCACAAAGGTATGTTAAGACCACCCTGTGCTCTCACTGCTCATGACCACTTACAAAGGCAGTGCATTCTTCTACAATGGGGCACTGCAGGACCTGCAGTCATAGGTGTGGCACCTCTGTTCATCAAGCAGAGCCAACTGGAAGGGTGAGGGAGAGAACGGTGACAGCTGCTTTAGCATCAGGAAGGGATACTTCTAAAACTCTGAGTCCTTGGCAGCTACCCAACCATGCTGACCATTGATTCCCTGGCCTCTCTTCATACTTAAGTTGCTTTTGATTAGGGGAAGAGTAAATGAGAACAACATTTTAAGATTGAATCCAGCACACACAAAACGCCTTCTCTGTTTTGCAACTCTTTAAAGCCTTGTGTCCCCAGAATTCAGAATATAATGCTGGCAAATACATGCATAAATAGTACTATTTAACCAAACAATTACTCACAGTTTAACAACTTCAGGCATGGGTAGATAGGTACTTAAATGCAGCAGCGAATTTGCAGGTTAACTATTTTAATTTTACATTGCAATGATGATAAAATTCCGTTAAACAACACATTGGAATCCAAAATTGGATTTTCAGCTATAAGTGGCGCCATCTAGGTAGCAAATGAAAAATACATTCTCCTTACCCATTTCTTGTCTGGTACTACATACTCCTGTGCCATATTTATATAACACATCTTTCACAGTTTTTAAGGCATTATGCTCAGTTTCTGCAAAGCCAAGGTAGTTATATGAGCCCATGTTGATTATATTCTTGATTGTCCTTCCAGTGAATCTAGTTAAGGAAAAAAATACAAATAATATTTAACTTAAAAACACTATGAATCAGAAGAAGGTTAGCAAGAGGAAACTACACCATGTAAAGGATTATGTATTGTCCTTGCCATTATTTTACCTTCCTTAATAAAACTGGTCACAAATGAGTATATTTGAAAATGGCTTTCTTAAGAGGTGACTAAATGTCAAGAAAAAAATGAAATCTATTTTTCCACCTATATGAAGTACACTGGATGGTCCATAGTGGCTCTCCTATGTATATAAATCCTTAGGAAACATTTTTCTAGTAGAGAGGGAAAAACTCCATGCAATTATATAGTTTGGGCAGAGACAATCCCCTCTAGCTTGATAAAGAATTTATTAAATTCTCAGAGTCACCCTATGTTGGCAGGGAAAAGACAATTACTGGTGGAAGTACCATCACTTCCTAATCCCTGCCAGGCTCATGCCACCCAGATAGAAAGTAGCAAACTGCAACTCCCCTCCCCCTCCCCCTCTTTTTCCAGTCCCTGAATCTTTCCATTTGTTTATTTCCCCTCCCATTTGTTTTCAGCATGAAAATAATTCTTCAAGTCCCAGGACTGGTATAGTCCCAGCCAGACCCAACTCCAGAGGCATGCCCACAGAATGAGGGGACTTTGGAACTGCTGGATCCAAAGTATCTCCCGATCCATCCCTTTTCAGTCTGTATCACTGCAGCAAAAACAGTGCCTTCCACTGTAGGAGACCTCCAGGATGGATAACCCATTCACGATGTAGACAAAGACTCACAACATCTAACAGCCCCTCAGCCACCTTTTCTTGAAAGGACATTGGGACTGCTCCTTAAATAACTTAAAAACCACTTCTTATGTCCTCTTTTTCATATATTGTCAGAGTGTGCCAAATGTGACAACATTTCATATGTCAGAGTGTGTAGGAATGTGCCAAAGGTAGGTTGGGATTGACTAGAATATCACTTGGTCACCTGCAACAAAGGTTTCTGGCTTTCAACCCTTTAACAATAGCAGCAGTAGAAACTCTCTCTCACTTTTGAAACAAAGAAAATTTGTGAAGTGCAGGGAGAACCAGGACTGGATTTTTCCTGGGAAAAAAGGTGAAACCTCATTTCTGGCAATGGAAACAAGTTCCTGAGCTGAAAGTTTGTTTAAATTTTAATCCTAACTTTATGTCTGCCCCACTGACCCACTATACAAATATTTGGCTCCAGTTGGTAGATCTTGGATCTAGTCAGGAAACAAATGAAGTAAACCTACATATCCCTGCAGCAAAGATTAGTTCCAGAGAAACAACATGGATTCTGTGTTGTGTTCCTGTTTTGTGTGAGGTAGCTTGGGCTTCAAAATTGTGCAGTGCTGTAGTAGCTGTAATCTGGTTAACAGTGCAGGTATGTACACTCACTTGCTCACTCCATTTTATGAACAGAAGTTTTCTGCTTCCTGTTTCTTAAGATTAGTGGGGCCACTGGGATAAGGTAGAAATGTGATGCAAGGGAGGAGGAAGCAATGTTCACTGATGTTTTATAACAATTATAAATAAGTAAATAATTCAGAAAGAAGCAAACTGAAGGGTATGGAGTTACCAAGTTCTCAGGCAGAAAATAAAAACAAGTGTCAATAGCAAATTCCTGACAGAAATGTCAGCTTCTCTAAATAACATAATATACCCGTGGAAGGCACAACCACAGTATTTCATGGGGTTAGAGGTTGGGCAGGAAGATAATCCATGCATGCATCTAGGTTATATGAGCAACTGGTCTGAATTCTGGCAAATCAGGTGTAACTCTGGGGTTAGTCAGGCCTTTAAAATACCATCTAAAAATAAATGGTATTTATTTTTTAACTTAGGGACAAAACAGTTTCTACCACATTATCCTGATAACCAGCCCTGGAAGCTATTTGTGACCTTTTTGTTTGGATGAGTTTATTTTATCCTATCCCATGTTCAAAACTGTGCCTCTACAAATATGAGTCTAAAAAGCTTTACTTTTTTTAAGGTGACATTATGAGATAGCAGAAACAGAAAACCACATAGGTTGCTTGAAAGAAAAGCCACATCTTCAGTGGTAGGGGAATGAAAGCAGCAAACGGAAAGAGATGTTCCCAAGTTTTTGTTGAAGCTAATTTCACTTCTATATTGGAGTCACAATCAAGGCACAATTGTTATAAAAATTGGTTAGAAAAGCAATTAACCTGTCAGACTTCTGTGCTACTACCAAAAAAAAAAAAAAAAAAAAAGGAAGCAATTACAAAAGACAAAGGTTTGCTACACAGTCAGCAAGAGAGATACATTTTACTTTTGTGATCACTACCTATACTTATTAGCCTGACCCACCTAAATGTCCAGTTGTAGTCATCTGAAACACGTTCCATCAAGTCAAATTTTGGTCCAGGAGCACTGCAGATAGGGCGGCTCCAATTGTCTCTTATTCGCATGTAGAGGTTTCTTGTATAAAAGTTTTCAAAATCTTGATAAAGTGGTACAAAATCCTAAGGTTTTTTTTTCAAAGAAAAAAAGGAAAGAAAAAGAAAAAGAAAAATAATTGTGTTAAGTTGCATTTCTAAGAAATCTGTATCAATTTAAGATTTTCGTCGTCGTCTTTTCTTTTTAATGGCAGCTGCTAGTCTGAGCTCCACAGCATTCCACCCAAAGATTTTGGCTTCTAAGCACCCCCAGTTTAAATTTAAACTCTTTGGGAAAGTAGAGGACACAAGGCAGAATACATGTAAACATATGCATGCACACAGTGTATAAAGGACTCCACCATTTATTGTGTCAGACTAGGAGGAGGAGTCCCAGATTGAAATTCTTATTCAGCTATGCTGTTTATTGAGCAACCTTAGGCCAGTTACTCACTCCACAGATAAGGTGTATGTGAGGGTAAAATGTATGGCTAAAATGGGTGTAGGTATGTGGGTGAGATAAGAATATGACGTTTAGTGCCCCAAGCTCCTTGGAGAAAGAAAGGGATAAAACTGCACCAGATGTATTTTTGGTGGCTGGCTTTTTTGGAGCACTGTCCCCTAATACAAAGCCCAAACTTAAGCACCTTTTAGATCTTTTTGCTTGGCTAGGCCTTCAGAGCTTGGAATTAAGGATGGGGTACGCCTTGAGACCTACTTCAAATACTGGAACAAATCACATGGTTAGTACAGGGGAACTATTTGTAAGGATCCCTTGAAAGAAGTGTGCATACATGTACAAGAGACACAGCTGTAAGCTCTGACTCAGGAATTTGTAGAGTTTCCTTGCTTTTGTGCCTGATCTTTAAAAAGCACCACACTTCTGGGTTATATCATATTTCTACCTTTTATACTAATGTACCTGTTTACCAAACAAGGCACAGTTAAAAAACTCTTTGTAAGGTTTTAAAAGGCACTTCTATCAGATTGCAACACTGTAGTTTAGGAACCACTTACGCGTGCTATTGTTAAGGGGATTTCCTGAATAGGAAAGTAAAATGTCTATTAGATCAGTGGACAGTTTTTAAAAATCTGTTAACCTGATTAACACAGCATTGCTAACAGGACAGTAAGTGTTTAGCAAGAAGTGCTCTATACTTGTTCTCATTATGTATGCATAAAATATCAACCCTGAAGTAAGCTGTAAATGTCACACTGAATGCTGCTTCAACTCCGTATTTATACCTTATGCCAAAAGCATCTGATGCTCGATCCACAGACTTATAATGGAAAACACACATCATATGAAGGTAGACTTCATTTTGACTACACAGAGACTGGGAAATATTACATGTTACATGGCCAATTGGACACCTTCATCTTTCTCTGATTATTATGTAGTTGTTTGACATGGAGGAGGAAGAGGAGACACAAGGACATGCATAATGGGACTACATTGTATACTAACTGCTTACATTGTAGGTTTGTTTCATGGCTATTCCTTTCATTACCTGAAATTTTCAGCTGAATTCATAAACTATCCCTATCTTAAAAAAAAAAGTTGGGATGCCTGAACATTCTAAGTGGAAATTGATCCTTTTGTATTAACTAAGTTGTCAGCAAGCCAACAAACTATGAATACAAATGTACTGGATGGCACACTCAAGATAGGTGTAAAGGCCCAGAAGCCTTGTGCTTTTGCAATATATACAGCTTCATGCTAAATTGTGATTGATACAAATAACTATTTGCAAAATAACTAATAGGAATTTGGGATGTATACATTTTGCTAAATCTGTTTCATCTATGTTTCATGGATATATTAACCATCTTTTGCTACGTTGGTCTGTTCATTGAGGGAATTGGATTTTTCTCAATTTCCTGAACTTCCATTCATGTTAGAAATTGTGCAGATGTGCATTTTCACATTTTATCTTATGGGCGGAAATAAATATTTTGGCAGTTTTTTAAAAGACACCATTAATGTATATTCTTTTTGCATATATAAATTTGCACTCAATTTTAGAAAGTAAAAAAAAATGATCTGCAAGTCTGTGGAAAATGTGTGATTTGGAAAAACTCGCTTGTGGAATCTGCAGATTGTGGAATCTGCAGGTCAAATCTTTTAAAATCCTCACTCATTTGAATCCATTGAGGGATTTCTCCAACATCCTTACTAAGAACATAGGAGGCAAAGTATTTGTCCTATGGACCTAATAGTGTCTGCTTCAAAGAGCAGCAGTTCTCTAGGGTCTCATGAAAAACTCTTTTCTATCAGTGGCTATCTGCCCCTTTTGATAGCTTGCTACTTCTTGTCACAGTAATAGGAGAACTTGAGGAGTAGGGTGTCATTGCAGTCATATCCTGTTCGTGGCTTTTCCCTTGGCAACTAGATTGGTGCCATGTGAACAAATATTGAACTAGAGAGACCCTTGGTTTGATCTAATATGGCTTAGGTTCTTATGTTTCTAACTGGAGATGCCAGCATCTGAACACATGCAAAGCACATGGCCTGCCACTGAGATGATTCCTCCCTTACATTCCCCAAAACCACTGCACCATCTACCATTATAATTATAAACTAATAAAAGGAAGGAGCTCATATTAGTATCACCTAATTTTTCTTATGGATACTGAAAAGCAAACACCTATGTCTTTTACTTTTTACAGTGATTCAATTCTAAAAATATTTTGAATTTTTAAAAAGGTCTTATATTCTCACTATGCGTGGGTGAACGTAAGTGTACACATGCACGCACACTGGAATACCATCCTTTGTTCAAGTCATTTTTTAGTTTGTTTTTAAGAGTTAAGAGACTACAGCCTGGTTTGCATGCTACACTAAACCAAGGCTTAGTGTGCCAAGCAGAAATAAGTGACAGGCTCCTACACTTTCTCTTAAATTTCCAAGAGGCCAGGGGAAAGAGTTCAGAAGCTTTTGATGAACTGCAGTTTGTTGACTTGACTGCTGTAACAGCCTGTGCTTAACATTAACTATGGTTAGTCTAATCATGAGGAAGTTATGGTTCTCCTGATTGACTTAAACTTCACCACCCATAAACCCCAACCGCCATGATCAATGATCTGGGATACTGGTTAAAACTTTGGGAGGGCTACAGGTCACCACCTCTGGTCTAAAACAAGTCAGCGTCAGAAACCACACTTCCATATCCAGATGCCATATAATCTGTGGTTAATCAAAAGCAGAATGAAAGCTTCTGAATTCCTGGACACTGTAAGAGGAAAAAAGGGGAGGGAGGAGGGCATGAACCTAAAGCTTACTGCATCTTGTTCCTGCTTATGCATGTCTCACTAATTTATGGCTTACTGTGATGTTAGAAATGGGCCAATACTTGCCTTCCTTCACTGTACTTTGATTTCTAGTCAGATCCCATGAATGCTTTAGATCAGGGATGTTGAACCTGTTTCAGCTTGAGCCCCACATTCAATTTCAGAGAAGCTCTCATGGTACACATTCTAGCAATGTGCAGGGACAAAGACAAATTAGGTAGATGAAAGGAGCAAATTGCTAGCATACTTTAGCTTAAGCTCTCACTGCTTTTAACTAAGTGTGAGCAGAGGCATTTCAATTCTTTAGAATGGGGAGAAATCATGCAAAAGCTGAAAAATCATGTAATGATAGAGGGTTGCTGCCCGGCATGGAATAGAAACCAACTCACGGCATGGCCAACTGGGGAACCCTGGAGGACCAGATCTAAGTCAAGGGATCCCAGACCTTTTAAACTGAAGGAAACCTTTGGGAATTTAAGAAATTACTGTGGACAAAATCAAAAAATGGCTCTTATGGAGAATGTGGCTAGTCACATAATGGCTACTATTACAGCTTGCCTGGTCAAAAGGGTGTGTGTGTAAAAATGGGATGGCTACAAGAAATACAAAAGAAAAGAGATAGAGGGGAAAGAAACTGTAAGGCTAGGAGGTAGAGAAAAGAAAGAGATAGATGGGAAAGAAAACTGCAAAACTAGCAGCAGCAAGTTAAAGGGATGGGTGCTAGTAAAAGAGCAAAGCTATGAGGAAGAAAAAAACTCGGTGTGAACAAGAAAGAAAAATAGTGAGGAAAGGGCTTGCTTGAAGAGAAATAGCAAGGCTAAAACCTATGAGTAGAAAGATAGAGACAGCAAAGAGAAAATGTCTGCAGGAACTAGTGAGCCATGAAGTGACATCTTCTTTCTCTTTCTGAACAGCTGGAGGTTTAGGAACAGGAAGAACCTGGAACCTGATTTTTTTTTTTTTTTTTAGGAAGCTGGGAGTGGAGAATTTTACAGATGTTATGATGGCAACCTCTGATTTATGTTTTGCAAAAAGAGGTAAGGTACTGTAACAGCGATAAACTACTGTCAGCCAGGGTTTTCTCTCCAATCTGAATCCCCCACAAGCATACACTTCTGTACTTGGCTTTCTGAAAATATTCTGAGGAGAAACAACAAAGATCTAAAACTTGATAGGGGAAAAAGCTTTCTCTTGGTAACACGTTCCAGACATCGCCTTCCTGCTTGGCTTCTTAGAAAGGAATTGGGGAAGTTCATGGCATTTCAGGACTATATACCTTTTGTTCTTTCCGTTCTGTGGGGCCAACACCCTTTTGTAATCCATAGGCTCTCAAGAAATCTCGCAGGTAGCCGGATAATGTTGCTACTCCAAAACCCACAAATGTAAGAACAGCAACATACATTGGAGCTTGTTCAAAAGACTCATTAAATGTTTTTTTGTAGATGCCTCCATTTGTTACACCATTTTCCTGAAAATGGAAACAGAAAATTATAGTGATAACATTTCACATAAGCTTAAAACTACAATTTACTTTAAAGATTCTTGTTTTTCATATGTGTATACATCAATTGCTCTACCTCACCCACACTCATCTGCATTGCCAGCCATACTGTTCGCTTTCTGTCCATGCATACCTGTGCTTATTTTCTTTCCGTGACATTCTTGCTCAAAATTTTATTTTTGTTTTAAAAGCAACAGCAGAAACACAGGAAAAATAAGCTGTTGAAAATGACAATAATGCCCTAACTGTTGCAGAGGGACCAGAATAATTGTGCATGAACTTCCTCCACTGGAAGTGCCTTCCATTGAACTCTTAAGTGTCTATCTGATTGCCAAGCCACAGCCCAACCAGTTAATCCATACAGCACATTTAAAGTAGCCAATCAAGAGCCTTCATGGGAAATATGGTCCACTCTTGAAATGGTTTCCCCTGCCCTGGAAAGTCAATAGGTTTAGATACCGCTGAGGCACATTTTATGACACTTTCCAGTAATTAATCATCTTCCAATATGCAATAAATTTGCTTTAACTCAATCAAGGAACAATGACCTTCCATGGAATCAAGAGTAGGATTCCATTGTTCTCATCATCTTTCTTGTTTATAATGTGAACCTGTGTGTAAAGCAGCTGCAATTGTGAAATTGAATCCTTTTTGAGCTATTCTTCCTCCGCCAGCCAGTTGACTTTAGAAGTAACTATTCTACAGTGTTGTATAGATCTGCTGTATGCACATCACATTTCGTGTAAAAGACCCTTTAGTCTCACATTTGTTGTTACATATGTACACAATTTGAGTTCATGTATGTATGTGACTAAGGATGTGGCAACACAGCATGGTAAGTTACTCAAGTGCTTGCTAAGCCACACTGCTGCCCCAAAATAAAATAAAATAAAATAAAATAAAATAAAATAAAATAAAATAAAATAAAAATCAGGCACTTGCTAGCTTATCATAGTTAATTTCCTTCTCATCCTATAGCTTCCAGTGCATATTCCAGGAGCCTTTGCAGTAAGATAAATCTATACTGCTGTGATGAGATTCCCTTCCCTCCCACTTTCTTGTCTTGGGAATATTTGTTGACATATATACTTCCCTATGCCCGTTTTTCTGATAAAATAACACGTCTCAGAAATGATTGAAAAAAAGAAAAATAGACTCCCCCCCCCCTTTATTAACCCTCCCTAAATACATGGAAGAAATTGAGTACGGAAAACAGGAGGAAGAAAGTGTAAATCACTTCTCCAAAAATGCTAGTCCCAAATTGGGAGCATCCATGCTTTCCCGTAATTATATTGATTATGCCTACACACAGAGCTGTACAAACTCAGCTCACAAGGGTCTAAAGCTGCTTACCATCAAATGAAGTGCTGAGTTGGAGGAGGAGGAGTTGAAGGCATTGTGAGGGGTGGTTGTCACAAGCCAGGTTCCCCCACATCACACTTTTCAAAACACAGACTATTTTTTGGCAAAAGCTCTTTATTCTCCAGTGCAATCCCAGTAAGCATAAGCAGCAAAGAATGAGTCTCTTAGCATGCAAGGAGTGGTTCACCGAACCCAATCTAACCATTCCTTTCCACCATTCTCCTTTACAGTTGTAAATCCTGACTGTTTTCAACATCCACCTGAACTTCTTGGGAAGGTGCCCTTGAGATAAGCCCCTCTACTTCCTTCAATTCAATGCTTGAGAATTCTGGTTCCCAGGACCCCTCATCACCTCTTGAGTATTTATCTGCCTGACCTTGGAATGTATGCCAAGAATAACTGTCTCCTTTTATTCCCAACAGTGGCCACAGTTTTGCTCCTCTTGTCAGGTCATTTCTACAGTCCTTTCAAACAAGTCAAACAGATCCCATTGCATGTCATGACAAGCCACCTTGAAAAACTCAACCATGAGGTTCAGGGTGGATTGTGCTTTGTTAAAAACCACACTGAAGAAACCATGCTTGGTATCGACATCATCACAAATATGAGAGAAAAACAACATGAAATATTGTGTCATGTGAACCAGTGGGTTGGGTTGTACCATCAAACGGGAAAAAATAAGCCACCATGCCTTATTTTTCTTTTGTAATAATACAAACATGCGCACTGTTAACTGATCTGTATGACTTGATAAGCCACAGTGTGTTGTGAAATTTGTTTGGGTTAGCATGACTTATCCTGACCAATGAACCCAGTACAGAGGATTCAGTGTGGTTTGTTAACTATGCACAAGCTACCCTAAGGAAACATACCTTGTTGTTGAGGGTGGCTTGTCATGTTACTGGTCTGCAGTTCCTCGGCATGACTACAGAGCTGCCTGTCAAGAGGGGTAAAAAGCCTGGCTGCTCCTTACAGTCTTAGTAGTACTGCTTCCAACCTTCCTTTTCCATTATCAGTTACCATGTCCATCCCACCAACACAGAAATTTCACTTGCAAATCTCTTCTCAGATTAACTGCTCCATGTGTGTTCCAGCAGCCTCTTTTTGTCCTCATTGCACTTGTGCAAGCATGAACAATTGCAGGACTCATTCATGCTTTCTTAGAGCAGTTATTCTATAAATTATCACTGCAGAAATAAATCTAACATACTGCTGTAGTAATTGTGTCTGTCGCAAAGCTCTGTCTCATTGAGTCGCTGCTTTCAGAGTTTGCTGACAAGGGAAGTGCCAAGTGAAGGAGGTACTATACAAGGCAATTGACAAGATAACTGTACTATTACTGACTGTACAGATAGACAAATCTGGGGAAAAACAATTACAATTATGAATCCATCTGTGCTATTAAAAAGTGCACTTACAAAGCACAGAAGTCTTTAAAAAGGACAGAATGAGAACGAAGGAATTGCTCCCAAAAGTGAGAGAACATGAGAGAAGCTAAGTTGCATAGGGAGTTGGATGGGACAGGGAACCCTGTTTCCACTGAGAAGCAGCAGCTATAAAACAAGGTGCTGTGCTGCAAAGGCACATGTGGTTATGTGCTGGGAATGAACAGGGGGATTCAAGGGGAAATGAACTCTGTTATGCTTCAGAACGCTTGATCATCTGTTGAGAGGAATGTGGATTAGTGAGTGAACAACCAATCCACATTGGCTTATTCTCAGTGGCTCAGTGTGACATGCAATCTAGTTCAGTAAATATGATCACTTTTGTTAAGATGCAAACAAAAAGAACATTTCTGCATATTTTCAAGATCAGCAGCCTGAAATATACTGTTAGCAAGACTATTTTTAGGGACAGATCGTTTCTTATAGTATAGCTAATGGACAGAGGCTCAGAAGCACTATTGTCTTTAAGGCGCCACAGAACATTTATACAAAGACAAGATAAATGGAGGGGATATAGAGAAGATGGGAAGTGCAAGTGCTTTGGGAATGCTTACTAACTTGTATTCTCAGGAATCAGCATTATCTCACAGCTTACTATCCAAATGCAGCATAGTCATTGATGATTTAAAAAGAGAAAGAAAAAACCCATATTATTTTATTGTGAAATTGGTAACAATGATTTTCTGCATTAATTTTTTAAAAACCAATAGGCTTTATGGCAGTTCATTCGTAAGTACAGGTTGTTCATAACTTGGATGTTCATAACTCAAGGGACTGCCTGTATACCAATTTCAGTGCATGCATATGAAATACGGGTATCTATGAGGATGAGTTTCTAATTATTCTTCATGAACTTCAATAAAAACAGACCAAGTATCTATATAAACACCCATTTGCAAATTATTGCAAATTAGCGCTTTATTCATTTCATTATAATAGGTAAGCATTTATCCTTTTAAGTAGACAATTTAAGAGGACATATGGATCAGTAAATATTAAATGATGTTCCAGTACAAAGTTTATTTCTGTTATAACCTCTTTCCAAAAAGAAGAAACAAAAGATTTTTGCAGTCTCAAGTGGAATGGCCATATAAGTAATCACCCTGGTCAACAGCACTTAGAAAACTGCTTTCAACTGTATTCTGAAGTGAGCAGCTCCCATAAGATACATGTGACAATGTACTGATAATTTACTATTAATATGTATTACTATTAGTCTGTATAAGTAAACCTTACATAAACTACAGAGTGAGATGAGTGTACTATGATCTTGAACTATGTAGATTAGTATAATGATAACAAAAATTGTAGACCAGAAGCTTAAGGAAAACACTAACAGAGGGTACAGAAATGCAGACATGAATGGAACTGAGATGAAGATACCCTGCTTAATCTGCTGGATTACACATTCCCTGAAGCTACCAGGTTTTTATTTTTTATTTATTTATTTTTGGGTTTATATCCTGCCTTTTTCCTACCAAGGGCTCAAGGCAGCTTACATCATTCTCCTCCTCCATCTTATCCCCACAACCACCACCCTGTGAGGTAGGTTGGGCTGAGAGTCTGTGACTGGCCCAAAGTCACCCAGTGGGCTCCATGGCCGAGCGGGGACTCGAACCCAGATCGCCTGAGTCCCAGTCCCATGCTCTTAACCACTGCAGTGACAGATGTAAGAACAAGCGTTTTATTCACATGAATCATAATATGTCTTTACTGGCCAATTTTCAAAATAAACCTCAACAACATGTGTATGTGGGTGGGGGGGTGGGTGTCTGTGTGTTTTGTCATAATCCTGGATCTATGTACTGCTAGTTAAATGACCAACATTCAGCCAATCAGGTATTAAAAAATCCCAATATATACAGATGCAGATATTTAACTAGCTATTTTAAGAATTGCCTACTGGGCAAATGGGTCCCTACAAATGTAAAAACACTTAAAATTTAACACAAGCATTTTGGACTACAAAAGCTATAAAAATTTGGGGAAGAAAGCCTGTATATACTTTGTCAAATCAGAAATCACTCAGCCTCTATGCCAGGGATGGAGAATATGTGGCACCCCAGTTATTGAACTTCAGTGCCCATCAAGCCTTACTACCAGCTATGCTTAGGGTTGATGGGAGTTACAGTGCAATAACACTTGAAGGACCATATGCTT